GAGCGCCCCGGCCCTGCTCGCGACTTCCACCCCCTTCTACAACGACACACGGGCAAGTACGTACTCGACAGGAGATGGCATTGCTGAGAACAGACAACATCTTCCTTAGCCGGTGATTCAAAGCAGTGACCATTTCCCCAACAAGCACAGAATTTCAAGCAAGAGGAGGCTGTGGGAGGTTCTCCCAGCATCCCATGCCGCGCATCAGCACTGAGCGCTTCTTCACAGCATCACGATGCTTCTTTATGTAACTTCAAAGAGCGAGCCAACAGCCGCTACTCCTGCAAGTTCATCCTAAGAGAAAGGCCCCCCATCATACTGCGCTTACCTTGCTGAAAGCTACCCTAATGTGGCAATGCATAGTGTCTACTGCAGAACCCTCAAGAGATTCAGAGAATGCTATGCCTGTTCTCCCCTCGTTGCACCTTTTGAATAGTCTCAGTTCCACAGCACAGCTGAATTCAAGCTCTCTTTTTTCTTTCACTTTCCCTCATGCTACGCTCTCCCTTCCAGTAGCTTTGCAGTTTTTCACACTGGAAAACTAATAGCAATGTTATCTTCTTAAATGTCTTTTTCTTTCTTTCTGATTCACTGTTTTTTTAAAAAGAAGTCACAAAATAATCCTGTTCAGCTTCTCTGGAGCAAACAGTTTTGGGCTTTTGTCTCCTTTATACTTGAAACACAGTTAAACCAAATGCTCTTCCCACTTGGTGACAGCACTGCAAGCTCCGGGTACACAGTGCTGCTGTGCTCAAGCTGTAGGAGCAGAGTGATGTTGCCCAGCTGCAGCTGCAAGTCAGTAAAGGACAAAGCTTCGTGTTATGTTGTTGCACAAAAGTGACAATTACTGTGTTTTGTTATCTGCCTTTTCACTGAGACGGAGGAAACCATCTCCTCAGCTGGACTGGGGGCATGCATTTCAAACACATCCAACCTTCCACTTAGAAGCCCGGACTGACAGGACTGGGGTCTGGCAGTCCAAAGGCTGAGCCCATGCCTGCAAGCAGGGAGGTTCAAATGCTGTGACCAGGGTGGCAAGGGATCCTCACCCTCTGTGCTGTGACACTTCTGTGAGGAAAGCAGTGATCCCAAGCTCTTCAGCCATATGCTCGCGTGCTTTCTTTGCTTGCTGTAGCTGTGCCAGATGAATCAAGTGCCAGGCAATGCAGGACAGATCAAAAAAGCACCACGCCAGGCTGCCAAGGGTATGGTAAGCAGCACCGTGTTCGTGAACCTTGTTCAGGTTGCACACGTGCTACAGACCTAGGCGCTGGGCCTCCACGAGAACAGCAGAGCATTATGCCTGGTCCCGCAGGATGGCTGAAGCTGTCCCCCAGGGCACACACCATTGCCTGGTAGGCTTTGTGAGTTTGTCTGGCATGTGGTGGGTCTGAGACCACCGTCTATAGATCTTTCCCTCAAACAACATGTCTTGACACTCCTTTTTGATTTAGTCTTGTTTGCATTAAAGGGGATTTTTCCTTGCATTTGACAGCATCCATCACGTGTTTGCTAGTCATTTCTGTGATGCAAGATATTGTACACGGTAATAATCTTTTCACCTCCTAGTTCTGATAGGGGATCCCATGCTGATTTACAGAAAAATGCCCTGTCGTAATTGGTCCAAACACACTTAACTTCAGCACATCCCTAAGAACAATACAAGTCTCTCTTTCTGGTAAGCCTCTAAACAGAACCCTTCCTACAACTGAGCAGAGTAATTCTGAAATGGCAGATGGTCTCCTGTAGTCTCTGGTATGATGATGTCTCAAGCCAGCAGGGCTTAACTCCTGGTCTGTGCCACACACACAAGCAAGCCAAACAAGGAATTCATTCACTCCTTCCCCTTGGCAGGCAGGTGTTCAGCCATCTCCAGGGAAGCAGGGCTCCATCATGCGTAACGGTGACTTGGAAGACAAAATCATAGAATCATAGAATCATTTAGGTTGGAAAAGACCTTTAAGATCATCAATTCCAACCATTAACCTAACCCTGCCATACCACCACTAAAACATGTCCCTAAGTCTTTGAAATACCCCCAGGGATGGGGACTCAACCACTTCCCTGGGCAGCCCCCTCCAGTGCTTAACAACCCTTTCTGTCAAAAAATTTTTCCTCATGTCTAACCTAAACCTGCCCTTTCACAGCTTGAAGCCATTTCCCCTTGTCCCATCACCCGATACCAGGGAGAACAGACCGACCCCCACCTTGCTACAGCCTCCTCTCAGGCAGTTGTAGGGGGCAATCAGGTCTCCCCTCAGCCTCCTCTGCTCCAGACTAAATAACCCCAGTATCCTCAGC